GTGGTTGTCCCGCTGTATTCAGTGTTGGTGTGGCCTCACCTTGAGGACTGTCTGCAGTTCTGGGCCCCACCATTTAAGAAGGATGTTAAAGTCACTCAAACGCATCCAGAGGAGGGCAATAAAGCTGGCGAAAGGGCTGGAAGGAATGTCCTATAAGGAATGGCTAAGGACTTCGGGCTTGTTTAGTTTGGAGAAAAGAAGGCTTTTGTACAGTGTCCCCAGGAGGGGATGAGAAGAGGTAGATGCTGAGCTCTTCTCCCTGGGATCCAGTGGTAGGATGCATGGGAATGGTTCAAAGCTCTACCAGGGGAGGCTCAGGCTGGACATTAGGAAGCATTTCTTTACCAAGAGGATGGTCAACACTGGAACAGGCTTCCTAGAGAACTGGTGGATGCTCCAAGCCTGTCAGGGTTTTGTTTAAAAGGCATTTGGAAAATGCCCTTAATAACATGCTTTAGCTTTTGGTCAGACCTGGATTGGTCAGGCAATTGGACTAGATGATCCTTGTAGGTCCCTTCCAACTGAAATAGTCTATTCTATTCTATAATCCCAAAATATTTTGCTATAGTACATATTTTACATATTGACAAGAAATGATTGATGTTCCTGTCCCTTGCAGGCAGCTATCACATTGCCAGGCATGTTTATGCAATGAAGCGCAATAAACTCTCCCTCCTATAAACATCTATTTAATTAGGAAGCTGGATCTTCACTTTCCAGTGTTCAAAGAGAAAGGAAAAGTCCTGGGATTACAGTTCATCAAGCAAGTTTCTATATCCTCTTCTTGTTTTGGGGGAGTTAATGATCTTTGCATTCAGGACTAATTATATGAAACAAGCAGTTGGAAGATACTCTGAACACTGCTTTGTCTTTGTGGGGCTTCAGCACTGTATTTTAGTTTAAAACAAACAGAATTTCACCAATACAGAAACAGTAAAAGTAATAAACCTGTGGTGAGCTAAGTGCCATCAGAAACTCACTGCACTGTTTAGTGTATGCAATTATTTCTACAGGATCCTCTGTAGCATAAAATACTTGCAGTGTTCTGATCTCTTTGCAGAGATTCCAATTTAGTGTCCTCTGTACATGAATTCCATAATGTACTGATATTTTTCATGGCAGGGTTATACCAGATTTACTCTCGTCTAGAGCAAAGAAGAATTTGACTAACAATGGTGTTGAACTGAAAAGGTGCAGGGTAAGGTGCTTCAAATAATAAACTAACCTAATTTTTTGTAATTTTAGGATTTTTTAGTAAGAGAGAAATCTTCACAATGCTGGTGCTGAAGACTGCTGAAAAGCATCAACGTGTTCAAAATGTTTAAACACATAAATATTTTGCACCTTAACATATTTCCATTTTAAAATACCTGAAAATATTTAGGTTTTGTTCTTAAGACTGCAGATAATGTGGTGTGTTTATGTTTTAGGATAAGCAAGAATCTTTATTTGTGTACATATATGCCCCTGCCCATGGCAGAGGGGTTGAAACTATATGTTCTTTAAGGTCCATTCCAACCCTAATCATTCTATGATTCTGTGATACGTACTTAGGAAATTTTTCTTCTAAGAAAGCATTTCTTACCTGTTTTCATTGCTTCACTTCATAAAATAGTTTATTTCTAGAATTCTTTGTAATACTGGCTCAGACATATTCATATTCTAGTTGCCTATTTTAAATATGGATCTACAGCTTCCACTTTTCACATCTTAAGGTAAGAATCAGTCAGCTACAAATTTTAATGCTGTCAAATCTGAAACTTAAAAAGGACCAATCAACTTCATCCAAATACAGATAAAGTGAAATTTTTAGTCTCGAGATCCATTAATTAGACATTCACATTTGTTTCCTTGCATTATGAATCTGATTAACCCACTAGTACAAAGAAGCTGAAATAAAAATTTGGGCAACCATACTTCAACTTGGGTCTTTTTAAGGAAACACAGTCTCTCAGTTACAGAGCTATCTACAGGTTTTTCTCTTTTTCTTCCCTCCGGTTCCACACCTTACATGTCAAGCCTCGGACTATAGTGGAATTCCATATTTCTTCCATTACTTAGGCAAGTTCTGAGTCCAAATACTCTATATATCAATTGTATAGGCTACTTCTACATGACCAAGTAACATGGTGTAATACGAGATAGACAGAGGTGGAGCTGAATCTCTTATCTACAGCGCCTTCAGCCCAGAGTGGTCAGTCACCTTACATTGGAGGCCCTTACTTCTGTCCACTCTCATGCCATTTCTGAGTTACTACACTGGATGTGTGCAGCCCATTCCATCTCCCTGCTTCAAGTCTAGACAACGTGCGCTGCATAATGTTGTAGGGTATCCAGCAACACAGAGGCAGTGTTGGGGACATCCCATGAATGAACTAAATGCCTGTCATCTTGCACCACCCCCACCCCTGAAGGAGCAGAGCAGTATGACTTGCTAGGCGCTCTTGTCATCGCAGTAGTTTTGCCCATAGTCACCTGGAAGCTTACAACCAGAAGAACTGGGACTGGCAGGACTGTCTCATCTCTAGAATATGGGACAAAAATCATGGTATACTCACTCTTCTAATGCAAAAGATACACTACTGGTGTCCTCAACTGCGAGCTGCCACCAAGCCTTTAATCATCTCTGCATGATATTTTAGCAATCTCTATCTGTGTACAAGTCAAACAAGCTGTCATCCTGTGAGCCTTGTTTCCCGTAACTCATACTGGTCAATGACTAACTACCTTAGGGTGAGCAAATAAACTACCAGCAGAGGTCTCTGATGCCATCCTCCAAACACTCTTTGCTTAGTCAGAGCATACAACTGATACCTATGAAACCAACCAGAGTTTTTGTATCTTTAGTTCAAAAAACTAGGAGGAACTCGGTGGATCCCACATCCCTATCCAATCCATCAAGACTACGACTACAAAAATCACAAAAGAGATTCCCCGTTGTCATGCAGACATTTTTCCCCCACTGAAGGAGATTTATGGAGCCCTGGAGGGACTCAGTACATCTGTCTTCTGTTATGAGTGCAGGATCAGCTGTGAAGCTGGAACCTTTTGTCAGGAATGGACGGGATAGGATCATTCATGGCTACACCATAGCAGGTGCCCTGTACTCCTATATCACTAGGGCATACAAAACCTGACTTGTACATAGAGGTATGACAATATGATCGTCTGTTTCTGAGTACACACTTGGGGTTGACTTCCAAGATGCTGCTCCCACTCTGTGAACATGTGAGTGAAATATGTAGCTGAAAAAGTGAATTTTCTGTGTGGATGTTTATCTAAAATTAATAATCACAACTTTATTATGTAAATAACAAGTCAATAAATAAAAGGAGGTACAAGAAATACCTGTTGTACTGTGTGTTTATTACACACATGCACTAGTCCCCAGTTAGTAAAAAGCCATTCTACAAAAGAGTTGGGTCTAATATATGTAATACATCTCATCAAAAGTTCATAATTTTGGCATCTACAGTGAAAAATAGCCTTTCAAAACCAAATAGTGCTTTTTTTAACAGTAGGAACTAAGTGCCAAAGAAACAAGAATTGTTTTAAATGGAAGTTTATACAATATTACATACAAACTTGGGACTTAGTTACTTAGGAATTTTCTGTATTTTCTAATGTTGAATGACAAAGACCGAAGTGCAAGCCCATTCACTGAACTAGATGACACTAGATCTCAACATTAATATCTTAACACCTGAGCTACTGATTGCTTTTGCACAGGTGAGAATATGCCTTCACTTTTCTTTCTTCCCGCCTCCTCTCTCTGCCTTTTTTTTTTTAAGAAAGAAAAAATTGTAACAGTTTCTTAGGTTCAGTCCAAAACAGAATGAAAAATATATATATTTTAAATGTTTAAAATATTGGCGAGGATCCTTCCCCTGTTCATCTGTATTTGCCTCCCTCAAAGATACAAAGGAAGTGGTCTTCAGCCATCCCAAAATATTCCTGCATTTCAGTTCCATTCATTCCCCGAAACACACTTCTTTATAAAAGGCTTCCTTTCAAAACCTGTAAATGACCCTTTGGTCAATGTGCATGTAGCTGCTTTCTGGTATTGTTCCAAGCCAATTTTCATAAAGTAGCTGGATATGAGGCAAAACCTTCTAAGCTAAGATTTTTGCATTACTGCTTAATAGCCCTCAAGTATTTGCTGGGAGTGACTCATACTGAAACAATTCCATGCCTATTGCTTGCAGTCTGTTGTTAAATCAATACAATTCCACAGAAAACACCACGGTAATCAAACCAAAATACCATATTAATATATAATGATAGGGCAGTCACAAATCTATCCAATCTGCCATATGCCCCGTAAGAAGTGTAAAACTTGACACAGGTTAAGGGTGGAAATGACCATCCACTAACAGTGGAAGAAAAAAGGCACAGAAAAATTATAGTTAGCTGTGAGCAAGCTGTAACAATGAATCATTCCTATGATATAATGAATAGATTATTGCTCTTTGAACGGAGAGCTTGATTGGATAAACCTGTCTGAGCATGCCCTAATTTGTTATAATTTGATACTTTTCAATATTAAAACTCAGCCTCGGATAAGCATCTGTTACGCTTAACATTATTTGATGGTTTTTAAATTAATTAGATAAGTAAGGTAGCAATAAAAGGTTCAGGTGTTAAAAAAAGCATTAGCATAACTACACAGCACATTGAGGGAAAGCATTGATCACAGTGGACAAATATTGACAGTTGCCATCAAAAGACAATTTTACTTTTTGGCTATAGATATGGATATGGGTATAAGAGAGAAAGTGCAAAAATGAAGCCTAAACAGTGCCACAGCTAACTAACTTCTAGCAGCAATGGACAGCTAGATGCCTAAATGGTACAAATAAGTTTGTGATAATGATCCAGTCTGAGGGGATAAAATAAATTACAACACAGCAGAGGTAAAATAAAAAGCAAATCGTAATCAGCAAGCTCAGCTCCCTTGCCAGCACCAGGAGAAGGATGTTCAGGTGCTGCAGAGACCTTACCATTGTAGCCGTGAAGGGGATATTGTCAATCACAGAGGAGGCCAAAGCAGACACCCAGAGCACTAAAATGATGGCCACCACCAAGCGCTGGTCCTCAGGAACCACCTGGAATTGGGAAAGATCAAATCACAACTTGGATGAGATGCTCTGTCACTCACACACACACACACACACATGCCCCCTATGGCATAATTGCACGTTTTTCAGAGTTTCAGTTTATATTTATTATTCCTTTAGGGTCTGAGATAGAAAAAGCATCTTAAAGAATATAGCCCAACACAATTACTTCTTCCAAGAAAATCTGAGCAAACAGAAAGACAAGGACTGATATTTCTGATACTATTACGCTGATTTCACACAAGGAATACATTGTTCAACTGTGAATTTTCACCTTTAACTTCTGCACTTTTTTTAACCTTTGTATTTTGGGGTGATTTTAGACTACAGAAAAGGCTTCCTTTGTGCATTTATGGCTACATTTATTCTGGCTGTGGACAGATGCATCCATATTAGATATCACCCATGCCAAATTATGGCATGCTTT